AACAAACGCGACGAACAAAGTAGCCTCGATCGCGTCGGGTCGCAGCAAAAGCTGAACGGCGGACCCGAACGCGAGCGCGCGGAACGACCCGCGTGTGCCGCGGCCGCTGCAATATGACATGGCGCGCGAGCCGAACTGTCGGCCGTTGCATTGCCCGCGCAATTTCGGCGCGGACCGGCCCAAGCATCGCGCCGCATTGCTTTGCGTAGGTTGCGAAGAGTGAGAAGGCATCGCGCCGACTACTGTTCGGCTAAATTCGCATGCACCGCGCGCCGACAGGTGTTCGGCCCCCGCGCTGTCACTCTTGACACCGCGCGAGCCCGCGCGCCACCGCGCACTCCGCGCGCCCGCGGCCCCCTTGCGCCCAGGAGCTGCGGCGCTATGGGCGGGCCCTCTTGACGGCCCTCGGGGGCGTGCGCGGCTTGCGATTCACCTCCCCGCCGCGATCCGCTGCGCCCCAGCTGTGCCCGTGGTAATCGCCCGCCGAGCCCCAGCTGTTCCAGCGCTTTCCCGACCATTGCGCGCTCTTGCCACCGCTCGCGGAGCCGTGGCCCTTCCCCGCGGCGGCTTTGCCCGTCGCCACCTGCGAACGCGCCGCGCGAAAGAATAGGCGGGGAGTGGGGGCTGCTGCCCCGCGCGAGCCGACGCGACGAGGGGGCCTGGGCGCTCTTGGTGCCGCCCTTTGCCGACGACTCAGCCGGCGCCGCCTTGGCTGCGGCTTCGTCGGCATCGTAAGCCTCCTCTGCGCGATTGAGAATGGCGGTGTCCACGCGCTTCGCCGCGCGATCTGCCTGCGCGCAACCGGCGCGGCCAACGCGGCGCGGAAACACATTCGCAAGAAAACGCGTGCGGGCCGCGAAGGTCGGGTCGCCAGAGCGCGAGCGTTCCGCCCAATTTTTGCGGGCCTGCTCGTCATAATGGACCGCGAGCTGCACCCGCCGCTTGTTGCGGGCCGCCCCGAGGCCCACCGCCATGCAGACGTCGCGATGGGCTGCGGCCGCGGCGTAGCTCAGCTGGCCGGCGGCGTGGGCACCGACCGCGTAGCGACTCCACGCGAGGTGCCATTGGCTGAGCGTCGGCATGACGCGCTTGGGCGTCGCCTTCGCCCCCATGGCCTCGCGCGAGGAAATAGGCGCGGCGCGAGCGCACGCGACGGTGAGGCGCTGCGCCTGTGCTAAGTTTTTCAGGTCCTCCGAAAGCTTGGCTTCGTCTTCGTCGGCATCGCGAAGCGCCCCGGCGAGGTGCTGCGGCAGCCACCTGGCTAGCTTCACGTTGACGAAACCTTTTTCGATGCCGCGCTTCCGAAGCTTGGCCACTTCGCTGGCAAGCTCATCCACGAGGTCGGAGCTACGCCGCAAGTGTCGCGCGCAAGATGGCGCGCGCTCCCCGCCGTGGCAAGCCGCGCATCGCCTGGGCAGGAGGTCGCTGGGCAAGCCTTCGAGGCTCGCGGTCTTGAGCGTGGCACAAATGTCCACGTGGGCCGCCGCGGGCGCCTGCGACGCGACGCGCGCGACGTCGCGCGGCGGCGGGCGCGCGCTGTCGCGTCGACAAGCCTCGTCCTTCTTTTGGAGAAACGCGAGGAGGGCGGCACTGGCGTCCCCGCTGGCCGATCCCGCGGCCGTCTGCAGCTCCTTCATATCACCCTGCGCGCGAGCGTGCACGCGCGCGCCGCTCGCGCTGCGCGGGAACGCCGGCCTTCTCGCGCCCGGCCAACTTGATGGCCGCGCGGACGCAGCGCTTCTTGCCGCCATCCAGATCGGCATTCTGGAAGCGGAAGTCCTCAAACTTGGCCCCGGCCAGCTCTGAGGGGACGGTGATGCTCTCGGCTGCCAGCGCCGCTGCGACCGAGTCGAACCAGGCGGCCTCCTGCGCGCCCGCCCCCTCGACGCGCTGGAGAAAAGCGCGAACAGTCTCCGGCGCGGCTTCGGCCATCGCGAAGCAGTGCGTTGCGCGCGCGCACAGCACAAGACTCAGCCGCTGCTGCGCTTGACGCTGACGGAAAGGTGACGCGACGACGCGAAGGGGGCGCCCACGCTGCGGCGCAGGCCGCATTGGCCGCGCGTGGCCGCTCTGGGCCGACGGACAATAAGCGCCCGTAAAATGCCAAGCCGTAGTGGCCTGCACCAGAGCCACTGAGCGCTGGGGCCGAATGGGCCCGCGCGTTTGCGAGGTCGCATTGGCCCCGCACGGCCACTTGGGGCCGACGGGCTATGCACCCGTGCGAAAGCAAGCCGTATTGGCCTGCAGCGGCGTATGAAGCCGGTTGGGCCCAGGAGCAGCCAGACGCTTGGGCCGACTGGGCCCGCGCACCTGCGAAAGCCGTATTGGGCCCGCATGGCCACGTGGGGCCAACGGACAATATGCGCCCGTATAATGACAAGCCGTATTGGCCTGCGCCGGAGCATTTGCGAGGGCCGTATTGGCCCCGCACGGCCACTCGGGGCCGACGGACAATATGCGCCCGTGCGAAAGCAAGCCGTATTGGCCTGCACCAGCGTTGGAAGCCGACTGGGTGCAAGAGCAGCCAACAGCTTGGGCCGAATGGGCTCGCACACCTGCGAAAGCCGTATTGGCCCCGCATGGCCACGTGGGGCCGACGGACAATATGCGCCCGTAGAATGACAAGCCGTATTGGCCTGCGCCGGAGCACTTGCGAGGGCCGTATTGGCCCCGCACGGCCACTTGGGGCCGACGGACAATACGCGCCCGTGCGATAGCAAGCCGTTTTGGCCTGCACCGGCGTTGGAAGCCGATTGGGTGCAAGAGCGCCAACTGCATGGGCCGACTGGGCCCGCGCACCTGCGAAAGCCGCATTGGCCCCGACTGGGCCCGCGCACCTGCGAAAGCGCGCGCGCCGTCCGCCACGGCGGGACGCAAGCGCACATGCCTGCGAGATGCAAGCACCAACGCCTGCACATCGCACGACCCCAAGGCGCGCCGCGAACCGCCCCGACGCGATCCCCGCGGCGCGCCTGCACGGGGCGTTCGACGCAAAGCGAGCAGAAGAGCAGACTAGCCACGCGCGTGACGACGCACCCCCCTCGCGCGCGGGCCCTTCGCGCGGGGCCGCGCGCCGCGAGGCACGTGCCGTCGCTCCCCCCCCCCCCCTCGCGCGCGCAGGCCCTTCGCGTGGGGCCGCGCGCCGCGAGGCACATGCTGACGCCCCCCCCGCCTCGCGCGCGCGGGCCCTTCTCGTGGGGCCGCGCGCCGCGCGGCGCAGGAAAGCGGGAGGCGGCCCGCGCGCCCAGCTTGCCCGCCCGCGCGCGGGCCAGGCGCGGGCGCGAAATTTGTGCCCGCGCACAACGCAGCACAAGCGAGCGCGCGCGCTTTCGATGGCGTTGGGCGCCCACAACAGAATCCAACATGTGTTCCCTAGGCTATGCTCCGACTGCTTTTGAACTGTCCTCCTGTAGATGGAGAGGCCCGACTGAGCTGCAGTCGAACCCCCCGGCGAGGCGATGTGCCCGCGGTGTCCGCAGCGGCGCCGTGCCGGGGGGAGGGGCCCCAGAAGGAGCAAGGCGGCGGCGCACGGCAGCCATGAACGGCGGCGGCACGCTCCGGCCGTGCTCCAGACGCTGCCGGGCGGCATCGTGCCCGGGGGCCGCCATCCGCCGCCGAAGTGTGGCCCTCAAGGTACGGCCGGACCTGCCCATCGGTCGGAAGAGGTAGGCAGAGACATGAAGGAGGAGGGCGTGGAAGGTATATTGGGATCCGCCCGCCCCCGAAAGAGGACAGAGAAGGTGAAGCCACTCGACCATTGAAGCAGGAGGGCGCTGAAAGTAGATTGGGACATGGAAATCCAATAATACCTACTTTCAACGACCGATGGGTACAGTCGACCCGTATCAGAAGGACGCACGAAAAGAATGCACGGGCCTTGGAAGGCCATCTCGAAGCTTTGCGAGCGGGCCGCGGCCAACGAAAGTGGCCAAGGATGGCACTTTGCGAGCGGGGCGCGGCGAACCAAAGCGGCCCAGGATGGGCCGAGGAGGCAAGGATGAAAGGGCAATTAACCCCTTGGGAAGGTTGCCCCTCCTTGCCGTGCGGGTCGACTGTACGGCCAGACCTAGGATCTATGACAGAAGAGCTCGGCGAAAAGCAAGAGCGACCCTGGGCAAGAGTGACCTCTGGTGCGCGGCTTTTACGGGGGAAGCCGCGGGGGAGGGCCGAACCCACGCGCGCAAGGCGCTGCCGTCGCACCGCACTCGTCGACCGGGGGATCCCCGCGGGCCCGCTCCGGAGGCCACCGCGGCGAGAAAGGCCTCTCAGTTGCGCGTAGTCGAGAGCACCCCTCGGGGACATGAGGCCCTCCGCCGTCGCGGCCCGGCGGGTGACCCAGGCCCTTGCCATCGCTCGGGCGTCCATTCCTCGTGTATTTTTCGATTTCGTGCGTGCCTTTTTCGCTAAGTCATCCAGGATGCTCCTCAATGGTCCTCGCCGAGGGAAAAATGCACACGTCCGAGCGATGCCGAGGGCCGCCGGGGCGTCTTCAGCCTTGAGCGCATGCTGAAAGGTCTGCGCAGACGTCATGGATCGGCGCCTCCGGCGCCGCCCTTGGCGCGCTCCGCGCGCTAGGGAGGGGAACGTCTAGGACAGATCCAAGAAATCCGCGCGGGCCTTCCAAAGTTCGTGCTTGAAGCCATCGTGCTATAGCCGGACCTAAGACAAAAACAACATCTTTCAAGAACAATAGAACCTCCGCCGGCCAAACCGAAGAACGCTCGAGGGTACCCTTCCCCCAAGATGCACAAGAGCGTCCGACAAGCACAGAGAACATCAGGATAGCCTCCCCGAATCGAATACGATCTTCTACCTCGGTCCGACCGCATGGGTCTGAGGGCGCAGAGACCTCCTCCTCCTCCTCCTCCTCCTCTTCCTTGTCCTCCTTGTCCTCCTCCTCCTCTTCCTTGTCCTCCTTGTCCTCCTCCTCCTCCTCCTCCTCCTCCTCGAAGTCTGGGACTGGCGCTAATCCTCGGGCCCCCGGCGCCGACGCCGAGGTC